CGGTCGACATAGCTCTGTCTACTGGGGGTTAGGTCAGTATAAGTATATTGCTTCGGGGTGTGGATTTTTTACACCCCAAGTGACATAGTTATACCGATGTTAGATTGTAGTGTAAACCTGGCCTAAGTTAGCTTGTTTTTTCAATTTTGATCATGTAGATCTAATTTTTTGACATCCCATTTGTTACCTTGACAATACACTGATGTCAGGATTATTTAATGCAATGAAAGAGCGTTTTTGCCACATGATGATTGGTGGTGGTAATTATACAAAAATGGGCAAATCCAAGGTTGTTTTTTCAAGTAGCTCTAACTTGACCCTTTCTTCATATTCTCACACACAAAAAATTGATTACTATATACTTAGGATTGTTTCCGGGATTGTTATAACTCTCATACAAACTACATAAGAATATTACAATTAAAAAACCAAACAACTCTAACCATCCAAAAATACGGAGATGACCATTTAAGGTACTATACATAAATATTACACTTCCTTTACAATTTGCATATTTGGTTAACAACAATATTGATTTACAGAAAACACAGTTTAATGGTTTAGTTACATATGTCCAGTTGGGTTGCTAGTCTGTGAGAGTGGTGAAGTGCTGGACCAACAGTATTTTCAGACCAATCATCCTTAAATTTAAAAAAAAGGGCTGTATCCACTTACACGGATCAGAGCAAGGGAAAGTCTGATTTTATCATGAAATGTGCCTGGGATCACACCTGGTTCTATGAGGCAAGTCTCCCCTTTTCCAGCCCTTGTGTTGTTTTCTCTGGTCTGTCCTCCTTGTGAGGGAAATGAGGGGAGACCAACGAGGGCTAGGTGAAGAGAACCAAAACAGCAAAGACTGGTCAAAGCAACTAATTGAAATCCCCAATTCCGTATATCAATCCAAGCATCAGAAAAACTCCACCATAAACAAAATGGTAGTTTTTCTTTATTTTAAAAAAAATAATTAAGTGAGGATTAATTTTGTTGCCCTTCTCTATCAAGAACTTTTATGGTACCTGGCACCACAGCACTGAGCACATTTTGTAAATGACATTCCGTTCATCTGATCTGTAAATTTACTGATAGCTGGCAACACTGTATATAGTGTGGCAGAGCTGTGAAAACCTTAACTTCATATATCCATGCTTCTGTGTGATAAAATGTGGACCATTATGTTGCACTAAACTATTTTTGCCTTGAAGTTTCTTGGATTTTTAAAACGTAAAACTGACAGATTAATGGTCTAATAACTTTTCTTTAATGCACTTGTTTGAAAGATCAGCCAGTCAAATCAAAGTTGCTATGTATGTATCTGTAAAACTGTACATGTGTTTATACATGAAACAATACACACAGCATAGCTGGGAGCCTACATGTCACGACTTTGATACATAGTTAAGGAAAGTGAAACATATTACTATCTTGGTATTCTTTTCAAATGCTTCTATTTCTCAAGCAAATTCCTTCAAACAGGAGGAAAACACTTGTTCCTATTAAGGTATACCCAAACTGTTCCCGGTAGGCAGAACATTTCCAAACTGCTTGTTTTTCTTTAGAAATTTGGGCTTTGATCCAGATCCAAATTTTGTTGCTTAGGTTGCTCTTAAATTCTTTAAGAGGACTGAGTACATAACAGGTATGAAATGTAGGTGTAGATATATTTTGAACTACTGGAATGCAAAAGAAAGTGTCTGGTCAAAAATGTGCTTAGAAGTCTGATTTATACAAATTGGGGGTAGGCAAATTGTATTTTTTATATTTATATTTTCAAAATTGTGTAGAATAATCCCCATCAGTTGGCCTGAAAATGATCATAGTATGATAAAATTGAACCCATAAACATCTTGGAAAACTAAGAGCCGGAACATGAGGATTTATAATGGAAATTACATTTCAACCATAACTAAAGATATATGGCAAAAAGTTCACTGCAGGATTGGGCAGTACCAAAAATATGTTGATGAGGGAGAGAACTTGTATTCAAACATAAGTGTCTGATATGATTACAAAGTTATAGAAAAAGTTACTGTTAAGTAAATTACTTGGTATAATTTGTTCTCCCTTTTAATTTTTTTTCCTAGTGAGTCTCCCTATTTCTAAACCTTTTTGTAAGTCTACATTTTTTCCAGTTTCATTTTCAATTTCACTAACTTTTTTGGGCCATATATAGACATACATAGGCAAATTTTGCCCTCAGAGTCATCTTTTTAGCTCTTACTGAACCTGGAGAGCCAAATGCTCACATTTTGAGGGCAGAACTAGCCCTATAAATATTTTTAATGAGTTATTTTTCTGATTTCTGTCCTTTTGCACAGATCTATGCATGTTCTTTTTTTTTCACATTATGCTGATATTCTGATCATACAAAAATACATTGTATTTAATGAAATAGTATACATACAGTCCAGTACTTGTTTGATATCTTTTAACCTGAGCAATGCTTTAACTGCACTGATCACCCACTTTATATAGATACATCAAATTTAGTATTGCTGTTGCTTTATCTGCTTCTGACTAGTTTTCTTTGTTTTTCTGCTCTTGTCTCTCATTTTCATCTGAGCCGCTGTTCCAATTGTTCCATGATTGACACACTAGAGAGATTGACAGTTACCCCCTAGTGCCTGCTGTCTGGGGGTCCCATAAGCAATAATGGATTTTGCACCAGAATTTAGCATCAAATATTGGTTTTCAGTGCTAAATCAGAAATGCGGGATGACTGTATCCTCTTTAAAATCATAGCTTTAAACAAAAGCATCCTTGGGATATCTGTAAGCCAAAAATCTATGTACTTAATGTAATCTGAATTTCTCCAAAATTCATAGCAGAGGAAGATTAAGAGTTTTATTTTTGGTGATTATTCTGGTTAAAGGTATAAATAACCACACAAATACAAGGAAAACTTCTTGTGTGTAAGTGAGGATTCCAAATTTCAATTTTAACTGAAGAGATAAAAACAGTATAGATCCTATTTTCTACACCAAATCACTGAAAAATTAGTAAGTCCCTTTACTCTTTTAAAGGAGTTGCTATCTTGTTCAAGATGCCTGCTGTAAATGATAGCCATCCTGTATCACATGCATACACACATGTACAGGCCCTTATCCTATGAAGATTGAAGCATGTGCTTAAATTGTGCACTTCAGACCACATTCTCTGGTACACTATGTCCAAATAATGCAAAATGGAAATACCCAGTGGAGTATATCTGCTGCACAGAGGGATCTCTCTTCTGGCATAAAACTGTCAGGGGTGACATAGCCATCTCGTTCCTGATTCCCCCTCACTCTGCAGCAGCTCTCACATGCAGCAGGGCTGGACGGCCCCAAAACATAAGTGTCTAAACTGCAATGCAGATGAGAATCCAGCCCTCTGAGTAGTCCAATTGCATATAATGGGGATTCCTCACAGTGCATAAAAGACAAGCATAAGTTGTTGTTGTTTTTAAATATTTTGGGTGGATTTCTTTTTTTATCGTGACCCAAGATTGTAAACTCTTTGCCGCACGGACCATCTTTTCATTATGTGTGTGTACAGTGTGTAAGCTTGATTGATGGGTTGGGGCCTCTAGGTGCTAACACAATGCATATAATAATAATTGATTGCATGTAGCATCTGTGTGGTGGACAACATTTTTTTTGTATAGCTGCCAACAGTAGGAATGTAGGGTGCAAACAGAAAATGACTGCTTAACACAGTTTTTAGTCGCTATTTTATTAAAATTGTTTTTATTGCTAATAAAACAATTTTCTGATTAAGTCTATGCCGCCACAATGCAAATAAACTTAAAAAAAAAATTTTAAGATATTTCTTGGTACAGAAATAGCCAAAATCAAATAGTGAGAATGTTTACAAAAAGAAACTGAAAAACTGATTGCTAATGTATAAAGGAAGAAATACTTAGTTCATTTTGGTATTAATAGGTTAATAAAGGTATAATTGTTATTTTTATGCAATAACCCAAGTAAAATTCAGTTTACTTAATGTAACTAATTTTGATGTAATAGAAGGAATGTTGTGCATGTCTAAAGTTAATAAATGCAGTTGCAACAACTTCCATTTCAACACTTCTGTATTTTAGTCCTTGTTACTGGTTGAATGCAGATTTACTTAGTGCATAAATAGGAATGCAACTTTAATTCCATTAACTGGCCGCCATTGCAGGAAAACTCTCTCTTGCTTATCTCAATCTGGAAATCTTAAAAGCTAAAATAGACAGCCTTTCTCATCATGAATTAATTTAAATCTATTTGAAGATTATTATTCCTGAGGATATTTCTGTCCATAGCTGTCTTGTCACAAATCTTATTCTTACAAGTGCTATGAGTTTCTAATGTAAATCTGATAAACTGGTTTCTAGCAATAAAGCTAGTGAAAACCATAAAGATGTTTAATGTTTGATATTTATGCTTAACTGTTGATGCCTTTTTCACAATTTTTAAAGTATTATTAAAAAGGGTTTTTTTGGTAAGGTCTTCTATATTGGATCTCATATTTGCTGACATCATAAATGATTTTACAGCAAGATGTCCACTGCCCTGCAGTAGAAAAAGAAATGGCAGATTTAATTAAAACATTTATTTTCAAATATCTGTGTAGTGATGAACTTCTTGTTGCTTGAACTTCCAGATTGTTGGGGTGAGCAAAATGGGTGTATGGCCTCTTAAAGAGCTAATTAGGGATGCATTGACTTCTCATGTACAGGACCATTAAAATACCCTTCTGAAGATGGGGTTTTTTTTTTCTGTTTCTTTTTAAGTTGTATGTGTGTAGTAAACTTTAACCTCAGCATTGTTAAATATGGACTTAACACAGAATTTCTGTGTTCAAGGCAAGTCATTCCTGTAACTTGAAAATTGCTGTGTCTCAAGTGGAATGAGTGAATATATTTCATTTGCTTTTTTTTAAAGAATTAATCTAAAGTGAAATAATTTAAAACAGTGCCATTGTAACAAACTTGTTTATATAAAGGATGCTAATATCATTGCAACATTTTCTTAAAGGATGCCAGACAATTATATGTAGAATACAAAGAAACAAAAATGAAGGCGAGAGAAGATGCCCTGGCTAGAGCTGAACTTGAAACACTTCCGAGTGAGTTTTTAATACTGTCTTAATACACAATCAATGTAATTTATTATAAGATACGTACTATAGAAGATGAATGGGAAAATATGCTTTCATTGTTCTGAAATTTGTTTTGCAAGTTATTTTTGCTGTCTGTTAGTGAAAGAGACTTCTGTGATAATGACTTTTGAATTTCACTTAATAACCTGTGCTCTCATTTAAATTGGATACAGGTATGTCCGTGTATAAACATAACTATGTGATTAGTCAGAATCAAATATTTGTGCACTGTATAAAACAAATAACTGTTGAATTCCAGTAATTTGGAAAATAGTTTTGCTCTTGTACCAAAAGTACTTCTGAGTTGGATAATTTTTTTATAGGTTTATTAAAAAGATTGTATCTAATAAAATGTAAATTGAAATAAATGTTATTTAACAGTATAGGCAAAGAAACTCAAAAGTAAAGACTTTGTTTATGTTAAGGTATGTTGTTTTCAGAAGTGGCGTCAGGTTGTGAGCCTGTGTGTATTATTGTGTCTGCATATAATTGCAGGTATATTTTATAGTGCATATGGGGTTGATTTCTGTGTGCTATAAAATGCACCCACAGTTACTTGCACCTATTAAAAACGTAGATGCAAACTTTGGGTGCAGAGTTGTGACACCGTTGAAATTGGAACCTTAGGGTACTAGATCTCTCTGCTCTCTAAATACAAGGTGAAAGCAATAAATAACTAGCATGCATATTTTAATATTGAGACTGGATGATATTCCCTTTTCTAATTCCTTTTTTGATCATAACCAAACTTTTAAAACTTGTTTTCAAAAGAAGCTAAAATGTGTGTTTGTTTGAATTGAGTATAATGCTTCTCTATGCATTTTTGTATTTTGGAATGTGTACTAAAAGCTAGTAACCATTGTGGGGTATAGAGTACACATAGGGAAAACCCATAGAAATGTATAGTACAGTCCCATTTGCCCATGGTCTGAGTTTAGTAAAATCAGCAGAGATGACTCAGCATAATTTGGTACCATCTCCCCAAAGCCTGGAGTGTAAAGATCATTCTGCTGTTCAGTAATTATAGGGTGCCAGCCACAAAGTTGGCCAGCTATATACTTCATCTAGCAAATGGTAGTATGAAAATGTGAACACTGCAATCAGTGTTTATCAGTAACGTTATGATATTAGACTGTATTGTCATTTTGTTTCATTTGAATGATGACCTACAGCATATCAATTAACAACTTTTAATATTTTGTTAAAAGGACTAGTTTATGGTGCTAGAAGGGCAAATTCAAGTAAGAAAACATTATAGTGGTTAGTGATCCTGTGTGTTTATTATTTTAAAAATGGCGAATAAATGTTTTTTCAGCATTTTTCTCCTGAGTTCTGGGAGTGCAGAGAGAGGCAAGGGTATTCATTATGAAACTGTGATTAGTAGAGTTTGTGGTGGAATTTGACACAACCTTAATTGGGCCACTGATACTGAACAGTGCTGTTACTGGCTAACCATGTGTTGTCCATCTTTATATTTTAAAAATAAATGAATGTGTTGAAGGTTTACAACATTCAGGAGTATAGACACATAACATTACAGAGCATAGACATATCCAGTATGTTACTGAAGTCAGAATATGTTATGTAATAAGAATTCTCCAATGGTTACTGTGACGGGTTAGATCACAGAAACCCCCTTGGGAGCTGCTACTCGATGTGCCAAGACTACCCCTGCTTCTGTTTTCCCTGCCAGCTCAGGACTCCAGCACCCCGTCTTGCTGAATTAGACACTCCAGTCCACTTCAGCACAGACCCAGGGTCTGAATTACTTGTCCCAAAGCTGCGAGTTTACCCAAAAACAGCTCACAGGAGTGTGCTTGTCTTTAGCACTCTGATGCCCAACTTCCAATGGGGTCTAAACCCAGATAAATCCGTTTTACCCTGCATAAAGCTTATGCAGGGCAAACTCATAAATTGTTCGCCCTCTATAACACAGATAGAGAGATATGCACAGTTGTTTGCTCCCCCAGGTATTAATACATACTCTGAGTAAATTACTAAATAAAAAGTGATTTTATTAAATACAGACAGTAGGATTTAAGTGGTTCAAAGTAGTAACAGACAGAACAAAGTAAGTCACAAGCAAAATAAAATAAAATGCGCAAATCTATGCCTAATCAAACTAAATACAGATAATCTCACCCTCAGAGATGCTTCAGTAAGTTTTTCTCAGACTGGACACCTTCCAGGCCTGGGCACAATTCTTTCCCCTGATACAGCTCTTGTTCCAGCTTAGGTGTTATCTAGGGGATTCTCCATGATGGCTCCTCTCCCCCTCTGTTCTCTTCCACCCCTTTATATATCTTTTGCATAAGGCGGGAACTCTTTGTCCCTCTAGGTTTTCACCCCCCC